GTTATCCTCATAACGACACCACATCCACAATGATTGGTTTAAACAGTTACTTTATAGACATGCTCCTGGTTGGGCTGTTTTTGGTTGGATGGTTGCCCAGTTTTGAGTTATGAGATCTGTTCTGAATCTAGTCCGTTTGGCACAGTGATTGTGCAAGGCAACGCAATGGAGAGTATACCTCAGTGTGAAGACGAGTTCATTCATTTGCAAGATCATTCCTACCAATACTGTCATTGACAAATGCGTATAACAATGAGTGGATTGATGAATTCCCTCTTGTCAGTTCCTTCATCACCTGGCACAGGGCCCCAAAGCAGCACATGGGTCCCTCGCAACGAGGTCAGCCCGGTCACTAATGATAATGATACCGAGTTTTGCTAAATCTTACATGTTTTGAGGGTTCCCATCTCTGCCAACCTTCCAGACAGTGAGTTCCAGACCCCCACGACCCTCTGAGGGGCAAAAAAAGATTTTCTTCAACTCCGCCGACACCTGCTCTTTAAAACTGTGCCCCGGTCACTGACCCCTCTGTCAAAGGGAAAATGTTATTCGACCGTCTGCCCTGTCTATGCCCCTTACAAATTTGTAGACCTCAATCAGATCGTATGTGTGTGCATGTGCACGCATTGGTTGGTGTGTTTTTTTTAATTCATCCATGGGACAAGAAGTCTAAAGCAATTGGCAAAGGTGACATAAGAAAATAATTGTTTTTAATACAGAAACAATTTAGAATTTACTATCTGGAAGAGGGGTGAAAGCAGATTAATTTGTGGCTAACGAAAGAGAACTGGCTATATCCAGGAAGATGAACATTTCTAGGGCTACTGGCAAACAGTGGAGAACCGGGGACAGTTGAATTGCTCTTTCAGAGAGCTGGCAATAATAACTAACATGGAACCCAAGAAGGGAATTTGGGTAATCCAATGTTTTAGTGGGATTTTCTCTTTCTTTATTCTTTCATGGGATGCGGATATCGCTGGCAAGACCAGCAACTGTTGCCCATCCCTAATTATTGAACTCTTTGGCTCACTAGACCATTTCAGGACACAGTTAAGAGTCAACTACAATGTTGAGAGTCTGGATTCACTTATATGCCAGACTGGGAAATGATGGGTATTTATAACAATGATAGTTCTCATAGTCACCATTACTGATGAGTTTTCAACTCCATATTTTATTAATTAATTTTAAATCCATTACTGCCAGGGTGGAACTGAATCAAGATCATTAGCCTGGACCTCTACATTACTATTCCAGTGTCAATATCACTGTGACCATCTCCCTTTAAAATGGGTTGAGGGAACAGGAGATGGGCTTAATGGAAAAGATTGCTCAGAGAAGGGATACAGAACAAACTAGAGTTAAAGGCTAGAACAAGGGGAGGAATATCTAGCAAGAACATGCCTTTCCCACAAAAGTACTAATTTCAAATGGAAAAAAAAAGTACTGAAGTGGATTGCTTTTAAAACAGGTTATCCACATCACATGAAAGCTTCTTTCCTTTGTGATGTATGTAGTGATCAATATGGCCCATTTCCCAAAGACAATGTATTAATCATCTTTAGAGCACCTTTTTCAACTTGAATGGAGGCAAGCAGCTTTCTTTCTGCCACCTGCCAACGTACCTTGCTTCTGAGTTCGCTCCTGATTAAACCAAGGGGAACCCAGAACAGTACTGCACAGGAACGGACCCTTTAGCCCATGATTTTGTGCCAAAAAATGACACCAAAATTAAACTAATCCCTTCTGCCTGCCCATGGTTCATATCCCTCCACTCCTTTTATATTCATGTGCTTATCTAAAAGCCCCTTAAATGCCCCTCTTGTATCTGCCTTCACCAATACCCCTGGCAGCATGTTCTAGATGCCTACCACTCTCCACGTGAAATATTTGCCCCTCATATCTCCTTTGAATTTTCCCTCTCTCACCTAAAATGCATGCCGGTTAGTATCAGATATTTCAACTCTGGGAAAAATATTCTGACCATCAATCCTATCTATGCATCTCATTATTTTATAGACTTCTGTCAAGTCTCCCCTCAGCCTCCGCCACTCTAGAGAAAACAATCCGAGTTATACTAGCCTCTCCTTATAGCTAGGCAGCATATAGGCAAACCTCTTCTGCACCCTCTCCAAAGCCTCCATATCCTTCCTGTAATGTGGTGACCAGAATTGAATGCAATACTCTAAATGTGGCTAACCAAAGTCTTATAAAGCTGCAACATGACATCCTGACTTCTGTACTCAGTTCACTGACCAATAAAGGAAAGCGTGCCATACGCCTTCTTTACCACCCTACTTGTGTGGCCACTTTCAGGGAGCTTTGGACTTGAACCCCAAGATCCCTCTGTACATCAATGCTGTTCAGGCTCCTGCCATTAACTGTACACTTTTCCTTAATATTTGATCTGGCAGCAGCTCACACTTACCTGGATTAAACTCCATCTGCCATTTCTCCGCTCATATTTTCAACTGATCTATATCCCACTATATCCTTTGACAACCTTCTATGCTATCCAAAACTCCACTGATCTTTGCATTGTCTCCAAACTCACTAACCCACCCATCTAAATTTTCATCCAAGTCATTATATCACAAGCAGCAGAGATCCCAGTATGGATCCCTGAGGAATACCAGTAGTCACGGACCTCCAGCCTGAAAAACACCCTTCCACCACTACCCTAAACCTTCTTTGGGCAGGCTAATTCTGAATCCATGCAGCCAAGTCACTGTGTATCCTAATGTATCTTAATCTTCTGGATGGGTCTACCATGAGGGACCTTGTCAAAAGCCTCACTAAAATCCATGCAGGCAATATCCACTGCACTGCCGTCATTGATCACAGCGACATCTCAAAAAATTCAATCAAATTAGTAAGACATGACCTGCCCTGCACAAAGCCATGCTGACTGTTCCTAAATAGGCCAAGCATTTCCAAATGTGCGTAAATCCGAGCCCTATGAATTCTCTCCAATTGGTTCCCCAACCACCAATGTGAGACTCACCAGTCTAGAGTTTCTTGGATTATCTATATTTCCCTTCATGTACAGAGGAACAACACTAGCTACTCGCCAGTCCTCCATGACCTCTCCAGTGGCTAATAAAGATACAAAGGCACCAGCAATCTCCTCTCTTAATGTGGGGTAGATACCAACTGGCCCTGCATCTTATTTACCTTAACGCTCTTCAAGAGACCCAACACCACTTCTTTCTTGATCTCAAAATGCTCTAGCATATTAGCATGCGCCACACTAATCTCACCATCCTCCATATCCTCCTCCTGGGTGAATACCGACATTTAGGATCTCACCCACACCCTCTGCCTCTAAGCACAACCTCCCTCCTTTATCCTTGAGCAGACCTACCTTCTCCCTAGTTATCCTCGTGTTTTTCATGTATGTATAGAATGCCTTGGGATTCTCTTTAACCCTGCCGAGGTCGTTTCATGGCCCCTTCTTACTCGCCTAATTCCCTCTGAGTTCTTTCCTGCTTTCTTTATATTCCTCACAGGCCCTGTCTGATTTTAGCTTCCTAGACCTTACACATGCTTCTTTTTTACCGGTTGACTAAATTTGCAACCTCCCTCATTATCCAAGGGTCCCGTACCTTGCCCCTCTTGTCCTTCCTCCTTGCTGGAAACGCCGGTCCTGAACTCTCATCAGCAGGTCTTTAAATAATTCCCATGTGTCAAATGTGGACTTGTCTAATAACAGCTCCTCCCAATTAATACTCCCTCGCTCCTTGCATAGCACTGACAGCTTGCCCTTCCGCATTTAGTACTTTCCCACAAGATCCTGACTTAGCCTAATTTACAGCTATCTTAAAACTTAAGGAGTCGCGATCACAGTTTTCAAAATGCTTTCCCAATGCAAGGTCAGTCACCTGGCTAGGCTCATTAGCCAGTTAGTTTAAAATGGCACCTCCTCTAGTTGGACTGTCCACATACTGTTTCAAGAAATCCTCTTGGATGCACTTTACAAATTCTGCCCTGTCTAAGCCTCTTGCTCTAAGGGAGTCCCAGTCACTATTGGGGAAGTTAAAGTTATCCACTATAACAACTCGGTTGTACCTGGTTTCCATCTAGTGATTAATTGTGGACATTTTACTAGGGATGGACAATAAATGCTAGCCAGCCAGTGAATTAAAATTACATAACTGGTGACTCTGGATTCAAATCCATATCCTACCAGTCCGTGAGCTCATACAATGATGCAAACACATCTGTAATGTGGAGCTTTAACCATGCCTCTTCTGTTTTATTGTTATCATTTAAACTTTCCTCTCATTTCCCTTAAAACTGCAAATGCATTCAAGTAAACATTTCCTCTGACCTACATCATTATGCTGAAAGAAACCATCTCAAAATTGTGAAACTCATTGGCTCTCCCACAGTTCGTCCTTCCTCTTATGATATGCAAACTCCAATTCTGACTTCACTCCGTCACTACTTCTATACCTACAAGACTTCCTTTCCTTTTTATTTAACCTTGGTGATTGCACTTTTGTAAAGATTAGAATGTAACACAGGAATCCACATAGCTTTGCTGGTTGGGCAGAACAGTGAAGTGACCTCAAGATCTAAACAAGTTGGTTTTGGCAAAGGTGGGATCCAGGTGGAGTGATAAATCTTAAACTCTGTATGGGTGTACTCATACTTTTGTATGGAAAAGTGAGAAACTGGAGCGTGTGTCTTGATTGTCTTGCATCAGGCACAGGCAGTTACCCAGAGCTCCCACAAATAAATGTCTTATTTTTATTATTCATGAGTATGTTTACTTGACTGCTTAGAAAAGATCCAATTTAACCAATTGTAATTCCCAAAATATCCTGCAGCATTATTCCAACAACTTTGATTTCACAATTTTTAAAAAATCTAACACTGAAGCTATTGAATAACTCAACTACATACATAGATTTGCATTTTATATCATTGCATTTTATTTCAGTATTTCAATTTCTGACTGTACCCATAACTCTGGGTATGAAAGAATCTTCTCTTACCTTGGAAGTATTCTGTCAGGAAGTCTATATGCAGGAATAGATACAGGCAATTTTTGCATTTGTCTGGCATACTCAAAAAGACCCAACAAATTGTGAGAGTACAATTGGGAAGCTTTTCCTAAAAAAAAGTAAAAGAAAACACTGTTCAGGCATACTATATGATTTGAAAAATCAAATTTCATCCACTCATTTCATCAGATAACTAGACATTGCTCGATAAGGAATTCTTGGTTTGTATATTTATTTTTGAATTAATTCCATTTACTCCTTGACCCTTGTGATTGTCAATTATTATGTGGCGGTGTAGGTAGGTTTTTCATTGTGATCATTTGGAAGTGGGCTTCTTCTTGAAAAGTTGCATCCAAAAGTGCTTCCAAAAATAGTAGAAAGATAGGGATGTCAGATCTTTGATGCGGTACAATGAAAATGCAATAGTACATGTTCAAATCAGCACGATGTGCAACTTTGAGGGAAGTTTGGAAAGGAACTTGGAGATGATGGATTCCCATGCACCCGCTGCTCCTGGAGATTCTTGTTAGCACAAGTGCACAGAACGTGCTACCAAGAAAGGTGGGTGTGATCTTAAACTGATCTCACATAAACATAAACATTATCATTATCATAAGATGCGTCATTGTGTATGCAAAGCGACCTGGCAGAGGCAATGCAAGTCAGAAGTGTCCCTGAGCTCCAAACAAAATTCTTAAGGAGCTGAAGTGGTGTAAGAGTTGGTCCCATCCTGCTCAAAGGAGCGGAAACGTCCATGCATTGTAATTATTTTACATGACTTCTACAACTGGTACACAAAGAAAACTGCCCTTGAAATATCCAGCCTGGAATCAACAAAAATGTTCCTTAAATGAAAAGCCAGGAACAAATCACATGCCCTTTACAGTGTCCTAATTATGAACATTTTAAAAACCTATTCCAGCCTATCTGCCAAGATATTTGCACTTCTCCAATTCTGGCCACTCGTTCATTCAGATTTTAACTGCTCCATCATTGAGGGGAGGCAATGGCCTAGTGGTATTATCACTGGACTGTTAATCCAGAGATCCAGATAACGTTCTGGGGACCCAGGTTCGAATCCCGCCACAGCAGATGGTGGAATTGGAATTCAATAAAATATATGGAATTAAGAATCTAACGATGACCATGGAACCATTGCTGATTGTCAGAAAAACCCGTCTGGTTCGCTAATGTCCTTTAGGGAAGGAAACTGCCATCCTTGCCTGGTCTGGCCTACATGTGACTCTAGACCCACAGCAATGTGGTTGACTCTAAACTGCCCTCTGGGCAATTAATGCTGCCTGGTCAGCAATGCCCTCATCCCGTGACTGAATAAAGAATAAAAATAAAGAAATCATTTGTAGCAGTGCAGTCAATGGTCAAGGGCTGACGCTCTGGAAGGCAGTCATCCACTCTCTTTCATTCCACTTACTTTAGAGTATTTAGTGAAGGAAAACTTTCATCCTCACTTGATTTGGCTGACATATGACTCCAGCAATGTAGTTGATTCTCACCTGCCTGCTGAAACTGTTAGCAAGCAACTCAGTTGTATCAACCATCAGAAAGTTTCCAAACACCAATGAAACCTGAGAGACTACATGGCATCAACCAAAACAATGGAAATGACATCAGCGAACACAGCCCTAGTGACCGTGCAAAGTCCTTACTAACTGGGAGCTAGCATCTACATTGGGTGAATGGTCTAACAAACTTGTCAAGCAACAGCCCAACTCAACCAGACTCATGGAATCATACACTATACACAACGTCCCACACAACACTATCACAAATCCTGACATGTCCTGTTCTACCAGCATGATAAACCCAGCAGAGCTGGTGGCACAGTGGTATACAGTTGATAGGGAGTTACCCTGGAAGTCCTCAACACCGATTCCAAACACCATGAAGTCGCATGACCTCAGGTAAAACACGGGGAAGAAAATCTCCTGCTGATTGAACTGAAATTGAACAGTCAGTGGTACAAATCTGTACTCCTGTGTTAAATGTTACTTGGAGGAAACATGGACGATGCGCTCTGGGCAGAGGACTTCAATGTCCACCACCAGCAAGAGTGGTTCAGTAGCACGACTACCAACCAAGAATCGCTTAGCTTAGTTGGCTGGTTTACAATGCAGAATGACACCAACTATATGGATTCAACTCCCACATTGGCTAAGGTCACCACGAAGATCCCACTTCTCAACATTTCCCCTCACCTGGTTAAACCATCATCACTAGTCTGTCTCATGAAGCACTGAGTGGATGATCCATCTCGGCCTCTTCAGAGGTCCACAACATCATAGATGCCAGTCTTCAGCCAATTTGATTCACTCAACATGATATCAAGAAACTGTTGGGAGACACTGCAAAAGCCTGACACCATTCTGGCAATAGTACCGAAGACTTGTGCTCCAGAACTTACCACACCCTTGGCCAAGATGTTCTAGTACAGCTCAAGCAGTGGTATCTACCCGACAATGTGAAAAATTGTTCAGATATGCGCTATACACAGAAAACAGGACAAATTTAACTTAGCCAATTACTGTCCCATTAGTCTAATCTCGATTCTTAGTGTGGAAAGTGTCATTAACACAGCTATCTGGCAGCATCTGCTCAGCAATAATCTGCTCACTATGGGTTCCAGTTTGGTTTCCATCAAGGCCACTCAGTTCCTGACCTCTTTGGAGCCTTGGTTCAAATGTGGACAAAAAAGCCGAATTCCAGACACGAAGTCAGTATTGCAGCTCTTCACATCAAGACTGCATTTGACAGAGTGCGGCATCAAGAAGCCCTAGCAAATCTGCAGTCAATGGGTATTAGGGTTCAGTGGTTGTCAGAGGTCAGTAACCTCAGACCTAGGACATCACTACAGAAGTTGCTCAGGGTAGTGCCCCAGGTCCCATCAATTTCAGTTGCTTCATCAACGAACTTCCCTCTATCATAAAATAGGTGGTGTAGTGGAGCGTAGTAGAGTACAATGGGACCTTGATCAGATGGGCCCATGAGTGGCAGTTGGAGTTTAATTTAGATAAATGTGAGGTATTGCATTTTGGTAAGGCTAACCAGGGGAGGACTTGTACAGTTAATGGTAGGGCCCTGGGGAGTGCTGCCAAACAAAGAGACCTAGGGGTGCAGGTGCACAGCTCCTTGAAAGTAGAGTCGTAGGGAGGTAGGGTGGTGAAAAAGGTTGTGAAGATGGTGATTGGCACCCTTGCTTTCATTGGCCAGAACACTGAGTATAGGAGCTGGGACGTCATGTTGTGGTTGTACAAGACATTAGTGAGGCCACTTTTAGAATACTACATACAATTCTGGTCGCCCTTCTATAAGAAAGATATTGTTAAATTTGACAGGACGCAGAAAAGATTTACAAGCATGTTACCAGGACTGGAGGGTTTGAGTTACAGGGATAGGCTTACACATATTTCCCTGGAGCATTGGAGGCTGAAGGGTGACCTTATAGAGGTCTATAAAATCATGAGGAGCATAGATGAGGTGAACAGTCAAGATCTTTGTCTTGGGGTGGGGGGTGGGTGGAAGTCCAATATTAGAGTGCTTGGGTTTAAGGTGAGAGGGGGGAAGATTTAAAAGGACGTGAGGGGTAACTTTTTCATGCAGAGGGTGGAGTGTGTATGGAACAAGCTGCCAGAGGAAGTGGTGGAGGTTGGTACAATTACAACATTTCAAAGGCATCTGGATGAGTATATGAATAGGAAGGGTTTAAGAGAGACATGGGCCAAATGCTGGCAAATGGGACTACGTCAGATTGGGATGTCTGATCAGCACAAACATGCTGTTAACTCTATGATTCTATGACTTTGAAGTCAGGAGTGGGGAAGTTCACTGACAATTACATAATGTTCAGCACCATTTGTGAATGCTCACATTTCTCAGCAGTTCATGTCCAAACACAGCAAGATCTGGACAATAACCAACATTGGACTGATAAGTGGCAAGTAGCATTCACACCACACAAATGTCAGGCAATGACCATCTCCAATGAGAAATAGTCTAATCATCTGCAGCAGTTTAAGGAGGCAGTTCACAACCACTTTCTCAAAGGCAACTAGAGATGGGCAAGAATTATTGGTCCAGCCAGTGATGTCCCACAAGTGAATAAAAATAATTTAACTACACAGCCATCTCTCCTGCTCCCAGGTGTAAATCTCTTTCTGGTCTCTAACTGGCCCTGCTACTCCTTTCACTGCCTTTTACTATTTATATGCCCACAGAAAACTTTGGGACACCTTTTCTCATAATTCCTTTTTGCTTCTCTTATTTCCTTTTTCACCTCCCCCCAAGCCTTCAGTGTATTTTCTGCCTTACATCTGTCATAAGCACACTTTTTCTTTCTAATATTAATTTCTACCCGTTTGTCATTCAGGAAACTCTGGATTTGTTTGTCCTCCTTTCCTATTTTATGAGAATATTCAAAGAACAAAGAATAGAGAACAAAAAACAATGTAGCACAGGCTCTTTGGCCCAGCATGACTGTGCCAACACATGATGCCTTTCTAAACTAAAAACCTTTTGCCTCTATGCAGTCCGAATTCCTTTAATCCCTGCCCATTCGTATGTCTGTCTCTTAAACACTGTTTTCTATCTGCCTCCTCCACTATCTCTGGCAGTGCATTCCTGGCACTTACCATCCACTACGTATAAACTTGCCTCTTTCATCTCCTTTACACTTACCTTCTTTCACTTTAAACCTATGTCCCCTAGTAACTGACATTTCTACATTGGGAAAAGGACTCTAACTATCCATTCTATCCATGCCTCTCATGATTTTGTAAACTTCTATCAGGTTGCCCCTCATCCTATTAAGGATGTTAATCTGGTTGTTTTCCAGACCAGTTGACAGATAGCTAAATAGTGCTCCCCAAAAGGTCAGTGCTAGAACCATTACTACTTTCAATAATGTGTATATATAAAATATCTATATCTACACGTTACAAGTAACAACTGTAGATAATATCAACTATAGAGATGCAACCAGTGAGGATGAGATCAATTGCAACAGTACATAGATGGGCTAGCAGAATGGGAAGACAAGTGCAGATGGAATTTAATACAGATAAGAGTGATTTTGATTTTAGAATGAAAAAAAGAGGTAATTTATAATTAATTATGCAGTTCTGAATTGTGTGCAGGGACGGAGACACTTGGGGATTCATGTGCATAGATCTCCTAAAGTGGAGAGAACAGTTAGCAAAGCTTATGGGACCTTGGAATTTATAGATATCAAGTATCAAGCAAATATGCTGAACATTCATAAATCTCTGGTTAGGATTGAAATATCACATTACACCATGTTCTGATCATCACACTTGAAGAATGTGAAGGTGCCTGAGATGCTGCAAGGGAAATTTAACAGAACAATTCCAGGGACGTTATCCACAAGTTTAGGCTGGAGTAGCTGGCATTGGACTTCTTTGAGAAAGGTAGATGAGAGACAATTTGATAGAGGTGTACAAAATTATAACCAGTTAGATAGGTTAGACAAAAAAAAAGGTTGTTCCCATTAACTATTGGTATAAGGATTAGGGACACAGATTTAAGATTCTGGATAAGAGATACAGTGAAGATGAGAAAGATATCAACTTTCTAAGCACTTAGTCGTGATGACTCCAAACTCATGACTACAAAGGTAGCGTAAACCAAAATGATCAAATTATTTCAAAAGAAAATTGCAAAGGCACTTCGGGAAATTAACTTGTAGGGCCAAACGGAATACAAGAGAGGAACGGGACTGAAAGGGTTACTCCACCCAGAGCCCGCATGGACTCAATGGACCAAATGACCTCGTTCTGGCCCATAACGACTATAACTAGATCTTAAAGTAAGAGTATATCTTGTAAAATACTACATACAAGTTGTATAAAACTCTTTATGTTGCAAAGAAACTTCTTTTGTGTCTCATACAAAATAACTGTTGAAGTGGTTTACATGATTTCAGATATCAAAAAGTTTTATGGGACTTACCAGATATTGAAAGCAATGCATTGTTCATCACATACAGCCATGAACACCTTCTTTGGACAAGCTAAAATAAAAACAAACTTACGATGAAATACATTGAGCAGTTTAAAGATTAAGCTGTAAAGGATGTACTTCTCCCCTCAGAAAAGCAAGCTAATTTGTTTGTGATCTATTTGAATACACAGTTTAATTTTCAAGTAGGACTCTGCAAAGTACATCAACATATTTTCATTGATATAAGCAAGGAATTAAATATTAAGATAGCAAGAACTGCAGATGCTGGAGTCAAAGACAACACAGCAGGCCAGGCAGCATCAGAAGAGCAGGAAAGTTGACGTTTTTGGTTCGGAAACCTTCTTCAGAAATGGGGAGGAGGAAGGGAGCTCGAAAATAGAGAGAAGAGGGTGAGGCTGGGAAAGGTAGGTGGGATAGTGATAGGTAAACGCAGATAGGGAGTAGTGGGGATTGGTTAGTGGGACGGGTGGGGCGGATAGGTGGGACAGAAGATGAACAGGCTGTGTCAGGTCAAGGAGGCAGGGATGAGGCCAGGAATGGGGAGATTTGAAACTGGTGAATTTCATGCTTAGGCCATTGGGCTGCAGGCTCCTGAGGCGGAATATGAGATGTTGCTCCTCCAGTTTGCGGGTGGTGTCATTGTGACACTGTAGGCCACCCAGGATGGACATGTCACCCAGGGAGTGGGAGGGGTGAGTTAAAATATTAAGCATTATTTGGAATAATTAAACTAAGAAAAAGAATGAACTTTACCTGCTCCATTGATGTTTCATGTAATTCATTAAGGTTTAAAGTGTAAATGCCTTCTTCAGCACCAAATATGAGGTACTGATCTAAAGGGAGAAAACATTAAATAACTAAATTAAAAAGCAAAAGGACAAAAACTTCTAATTTTTGTTCCAGAAACAACAATTACCTCTCGTGTCTGGATTAATCCATGATGTTGCACAGTGAATTTTCAAAGGGCAACCATTGAAAACCTTAGAGAAACAAGCACCCATCTGAACAACAAAAAAAATTTGAAATTACTTAAAATAGCACTGCATTGGTTACTTTACATAATAGGATTGCAAAATAAAAAAAAACCACCAGTAGACATTCTCTTTTCAATGGGAGCAGGGCTGTTTAATCCCTATAGAAGGGCTATTTTGCCGAATTTGTTCCTTTTTTACTTAATAAAATCAAACATTTCACAAAGAAATACCACAATAAATAATGCACAACTTTTTAAATAGCAATCACGCTGTTTAATTTTACAATTATCACAGCAATGATAAGAAATGTGAAATTGGAATTTTTTAAAACCACAATCACGGCAAAAGTCTTTTGCAATTAGTGTTGTTTAATTCTCATCCACCATGCTAGGACTATGCATTACAGCATGTTACTGGTTAAATGATCACTTCTGTATTTGGATTCCTACAACGCCTACTTCCAGCTTTTACCTTTTCTGGCTGCAAATTTATTTGATAATGTGGTATTACCACCTAAAAAAATCAGAACAAAATAATATGAACTATATTCCCATTTAAAACTTGCTTATTTCGCATCAAATTTTGTAATTTCTTTAGAAATGATATACATTTTGATGATTTTTTATTACTGTCAGAATCTGCAGATTCTGGACTAATACCTTGTGTTTTGTCATTTGCTATTACATGAACTTTTATTAAAGCAGCGTTCAAGGGTTTCTCATTTATAGTCATCCTTCACGTCTTTTTACATTTAAATTGTCCTGTTCCTCCTCCTCATAAAGAACATAAGAACTAGGAGCAGGAATAGGCCATCCAGCCCCTCGAGCCTGCCCCGCCATTCAATAAGATCATGGCTGACCTTTTTGAGACTCAGCTCCACTTACCCGCCCGCACACCATAACCCTTAATTCCTTTACTGTTCAAAAATTTATCTCGTCTTGCCTTAAACACATTCAGTGAGGTAGCTTCAACCGCTTCACTGGGCAGGGAATTCCACAGATTCACAACCCTTTGGGTGAAGAAGTTCCTCCTGACCTCAGTCCAACATCTGCTTCCCTTTATTTTGAGGCTAGGCCCCCTAGTCCTAGTTTCACCTGCTAGTGGAAACAACCTCTCTGCCTCCACCTTATCTATTCCCTTCATAATCTTATATGTTTCTATAAGATCTCCCCTGCCTAAACTGCCTTCTTCAACCATAATCCAATCTTTTTGCAGTCAATTAAATTCCATGTTCCATCGGATCACAACCCTTGGTCCAAACAACTTCCAGTCCTTTCAAAACAAAACAATGGATCACATCTTGCTCTCCCTCAGGAAGGAAATCCAACTCATATTAATCAAAATCTTGAAGGACAGATTTCTTCATGCCTCTCAAAGCTAATCAACAATTATCAGCTCCTTAATGGACACACACGTGTTTATTTCTATCTCAATGTTCTTTATTTTCTCAAACCTCCAATTGAAATCTGCACCCTTTCCATTTCCATTGCTGATTTTCAAAATCTTGGCTTGTTCTCTCATGCCAAAAAGTAGTCTTAATCCTGAAATGCTTTCAAGTCCCTTTGAAGACCAAGGCCACTCGACTTGAAAATTACTCTACATTTTAACATTCTGCTTGCAGTCCCAGTCCCAGTCCCAGGTTACAAGATAAAGACTAATATCCAATTGAAACCTCTCAATTCTAGCTTGCTGTACCTTGCAATGCAATTGAGTTTTTTTTTTAATATTCATTTGTACTGTTTAAATCAGCAAACGTAAATAGCCTAACATTCTTGGGGACAGGGTGTTCCATTGTTTGCAAAAGTCAACTGTTCAAAAGGCTGCATTTAATCCTACCAGGGAATAACTGCAGAACTTGTCACAAGGTTTCCAACAATGTTCCCTCTAAACTGCACTGTTATAGGGTCTCTTAAGGTTTTAGAGTAGATTTGTAGCTCGGATTTTGGATGTTGTAGTTGGTTGGCTCGCCGAGCTGGTTCGTTGTTTCGCAGATGTTTCGTTACCATGCTCGGTAGCATCAGTGCAGCCTCCGATGAAGCACTGTTGTGTTTTCCCACCTGTTATTTAAACTCTGGTGTCCGTTGAACTGGATTACCTCACTTCCGGTTTTCCTTTGCAGTGGAGTGTATCCATTGTCTCGGAATACCTGGATGTCATGGTAGAGTGCAGGACAAAATGGAGAATTCCTAACAAAGGTACACAGGAAAGCCACACACACTGATCAAGTACTGAATTTCAACAGCAACCACCCTAACACACACAAACGAAGTTGCAGGAGAACATTATTTAAACGGGCAACAACACATTGCAGCAACACAGAGCTATGCCAAGAAGAAGAGTACCTCTTCCAGGTATTCAGAGACAATGGATACCCGAAAAACTGGGTCAAAAGATGCCTATTACTCAAACAACACCAGGAAGATACTACACGCCCCGACACACTCATCACGCTACCTTACATCAGGAACACATCTGAACTGACCACAAGACTTCTACCACCACTAGGCATCAGACTAGCACACAAACCCACATCAACTCTACGACATCTGCTCACCCAAACCAAAGACCCACTACCCACTATGAACAGGACCAATGTCATAAACAAGATTCCCTACAGAGACTATGACAAACATTACACCAGACAAACAGGAAGGAAATTAACAAGGGTACACGTACATCAATTGGCTACAAAAAGACATGACCAATACTCACTCATCTCTATCCACATGGAGAAGCGGAATCACCAATTTGACTGGGACAACACAAAGATCCTGGGACAATCAAAGCATAGGCAAGCACAAGAATTCCTAGAAGCCTGGTACTCCACGAAGAAGGCCATCAACAAACACTAGAGCTCGACCCCATTTACATTCCACTGTGAAGGAAAACCGGAAGTGAGGTAATTCAGCTCAACGGACTCCAGAGTTTAAATAACAGGCGGGAAAACACAACGGCACTGCATCGGAGGCTGCACCGATAATGTTACCAAGCACGGTAACGAAACATCTGCGAAACAACGAACCAGCTCAGCGAGCCAACCAACTACAATAGGGTCTCCACAGCCAACTGGTGTGTGAATGCACTGACTTCTAATTCCACAAATCACCACCACGCCTCTTCAGGTCTGTACAGTGGCAGATAAAAAAAAAAAGGAACACAGGCTTTTAGTAGGTCACTCAGAACAGTTCAAGAGTTATTGAATAGTGAAATGGACAGAGGCAGTTGCAGGAGTGGGTTGCTACCTGGGGCAACTGGTTAATGAGGTATTTAGGAACAGCAAGAAGAGATTCCATCCCAAAATATTACTGCTGTAGAAGGATCCAAGTAGTTAGGAATCTGGAGAAGCTTTGGGAGTCAGTGGACATATCTAAGTGTTCAGTTCAGGGCTCAGGAAAATTCCTGGGAGTTATCAGAGCATGGAGGAGGCCCTTTTTAGATGAATAATTCAGTAATGCAGAGAACTGGGTGAAAGTAGCCCAAAGCAATATTTGCTTGGTGGAACAGAGCAAGATTAGAGCTCAAGAAATGCAGGGCAGCACTGGCTTTTTACAAAAAAAAACTGGAGTTGGACCTGTGAGTAGGTGCTGGAATGCAGTTTCAAAAATCTAGAGGATTGTAGTTCCTAGAAGAGGATGAAGTACTAGAACACGAGCAGTCATCAAGGTAGTCTCCCATGGAGTTGTATTTGAGAGAGTTCCAACATGGATCTTGTTAAGAATTGGAATTCCTTGTAAAATTTTTAAAAAGTGACTTGATGACTCAATGTCAGAAACATCTGAAAGGATCATGAGAAATCCATGGATCTGTCCTGACTTTATTTGTTATTTGAGTCACTCTGTGTGGTGTTGAACAACTTGTCCGTATTTACCTAAGGTTAGTTCTGGATGTTAGAACAGTAATGCAATCCATAATTCTAAATTTGCAAAGTTTAGTACTGTTTGTTCAAAACTGTGGAATCCTGTGGCTTTATTTCCTAGGCAAATAGAGAAAAACTGCTGAAAGCTGCAACAAACGGGACTTAAGGGTTTTTGCATACAAAACACAAAGACAGCACACAAGTACAGCAGGTAATCAGGAAAGTTAGTGGAATGTTGGCCCTTATCTGAACAGGGTTCGAGTACAAGAGTAGGCAAGTATTACTGCAACTGTACAAGGTGCTCATGCAACCACATCTGGAGTACTGTGCTCAGTATTGATCTCCTTATTTAAGGAAAAGTATCATTTGCATTGGAGACTGTCCAATTTGCAAAGGTTAAACAGTCTCTACTCACTGGAGTTTGGGACAATGAGAGGTAATCAGGGTAAATGCTGAGAGATGTTTCCCCTCATGGGAAAGTCTAGGACCAGAGAGTGAAAGGAGGAGCAAATTCTTCTTTCAGAGGATCGAGTGTCTTTGGGACTCTACCACAAAAGTGCTGTGGGGGCAGAGTCCTTGTAAACATTGAAGGCCGAGATAGATGGATTCTTGATCAGTCCGGGAATCAAGGGTTACGGGGAAAATGCAGGAAAAGTATACTTGAGGAATGTTGGATCAGCCATGATCTTATTGAACGACGGACCAAGCTCGATTGGCCAAACAACCTACATCTCTTCCTATTTATTATGTTCTTGCTAAATACCTGAGTTCTCAAGTTGTGTCTACATTAACAAGTTAGTGGCCCATAAAATAAATTTGATAGTCTAACCCTGAATCAGAACAAGCTGCATACTAAATTTTTGTGACTCATTTAGCAGGACTCTCAGATTACTGTGCACCATAAAGTTCTGCAATCTCTTTCTATTTAAATACAAAAGTCTTTCTATTTTTTCTGCCAAAGTGGACAGGTTCACACATTCCCTCATTATACTGCAGAGCCAGATTGTTATGAAAATAAAAGCAAAATACTGCAGATGCTGAAAATCTGAAATAAAAAAAAGTCGATGAATTAAGTATTTGTGGAGAGAGAAACAGAGTTATTTCTAGAGGCTAGTAGGTCTCTACTTCAGAACTTGAAAGGGGCTGGAAAATGGCATTTTCTGTGCGTGGA